ACCGCGAGAGAGAGAGGGAGAGGGGGAGAGAGAGAGACACACAGAGGGAAAGGTCTCTACTCGTACTGCTGCCTGTACGAAGAACCGCATTCCTTCCATTCCTCTACAGTGTAGAACTGCCGGACCAGCTAGCATTGCTGTGCCTCGTGTGTAGGTACGTATAGGTATAGCAAGCATTCACTGCACACCAACACGACAGACCCGCGTGTGTGTGTGTCTGTCTGGGGGTCTGTGTGTGTGTGTGTCTGTGCGTGCGTGTGCGTGTGTGTGATACCCTCACCTGAGTGTTATTCTGCGAGGCGGCGGAATAGCGGACAGGCGTGTGGTTGTGAGGTATAGCTCTCCGTCCTCACAGGTGTGGTACGGGGATTTTCGCACCTGCGTGTAACCACCTTACCTGCGTAGCCACGTGTTACATGTGCGTACCTATATACTATATACACCTGCGTATACCTCGATTTACCTGTGCAATGATAAGTGGATACAATAGGTGCGCAGTTCGGTATACAGCTAGCAGCAACAATAGATGATCAGTTGAATACACAGCTCGCAACTAGAATGCATTGACCTGTATATAGTTGCTAGCAAATATAACACAGTTATCACACTTTTCTTTACCCGTGTAATTGATTACAAATGTAGTTCAGGTAGCTTCGTTACCTGTCAGTTGATTACAAATCGAAGACAGGTAGCTCATTTACCTGTCAGTTAATTACAAATCGAACACAGGTAGCTTCGTTACCTGTCAGTTAATTACAAATCAAACACAGGTAGCATCATTACCTGTCAGTTGATTACAAATCGAACATAGGTAGCTCATTTACCTGTCAGTTAATTACAAATTCAGCACAGGTAGCTTCTTTACCTGTCAGTTGATTACAAATCGAACATAGGTAGCTCATTTACCTGTCAGTTAATTACAAATCCAACACAGGTAGCATCTTTACCTGTCAGTTGATTATACCGGTTATGCAGTCAGGTAACAACTTCCAATCAAAGCACCTGGGAGTTGATTATACGCACGCAACACAGGTAGCTTCGTACACCTGCGAATTGATTACGCCGCACAGGGGCCAACACACGTAACGCACGAGTTACGCTCGCCAGGTGACTCGTGACTATCCGATCTCAGGTATAAACCAGGTAGCGTTTGTGAGTAACAACTAGACGATTACCGCTGCTGCCTGCATTGCGTTCGTAATCAACTACACGCAGGTATCGCCCGCTTACCTGTAGTTACCTGTATTTATTTACCTGCGTTGACCTCCTTAACTCGGTCTCGGTGATTTCCTGTGCGACAGTGTGTGTGTGTGTGTCGCGTGTTGCCGCGGGCGCGCGTGGTGCCTGTCTCTATATATGTCACATAACGGTGTCACGTTAGCTGTGCGTGGCGGTGTCAACTCTGGGTCTACCCGTGCGTGTGCGTGCGTGCGTGCGTGCGTGCGCGTGTGTGTGTGTGTGTGTGTGTGTGTGTGTGTGTGTG